GTATTAGTATTAGTATTAGTACAAATATTAGTATTAACACAAGTATAAGTATCCGTATAAATATTATTATCGGTATCAGTATAAGTATCAGTATCAGTACCACAATATGTATCAGTACCAGTATCAATATCATTATTAGTTTAATTCGGTATCAGTATCAGTATCAGTGCAGTATCAATATAAGTATCGGTATCATTATCAGTATCAATATCAGTATCAGTATCAGTATCAGTATCGGTATCGGTATCATTATCAGTATTAGTATCAATATCGGTATCGGTATCAGTATCAGTATCAGTATCAGTATCAGTATCAGTATCAGTATATGTATATGTATTATATATCATTAGCATTAGATCATTAGCATTTAAATCAGTTTTAGCATAGTATTAGTAATAGTATTAGTATCAATAGTAGTATTAATATTACTATTTGTAATAGTATTAGTATTAGTACTAATATTAGTATTAATATCAGTATAAGTATCCTTATCAATATTAGAATCGATATCAGTACATGTATCAGTATAAGTATCAGTATCGGTATCAATATCAATATCAGTATGAGTATCAGTATCGGTATCAGTTTCAGTATCAGTAACAGTATGAATATCAATATTAATATCAATATCAGTATAGTAACAATATATGTATCAATAGTAATATTAATATCAGTATTATTAGTATTAGTATTAGTATTTTTATCATCATTGTAGTATGAGTAACAATATTAATATCAGTATTAGTATGAGTATCAATATTAATATTAATATTAATATTACTATGAGTATCAATATGACTATCAACATCAATATCATTATTAACATCTGTATCAATATCAGTATCAGTATCAGTGTCAGTGTCAATGTCAGTATCAGTATCACTATTAGTATCAGTATCAGTATCAGTATCAGTATTTGTATCAATATCAGTAAGTATTAGTAGTAGTATTAGTCGTAGTATTAGTTTAGTATTAGTATCAGTATAAGTATCAGTATTAGTATTAGTATTAATATTAGTATTAGTATTAGTATTAGTATTAGAATTAGTATCAGTATAAGTACCCGTAGTACGAGTATCAATATTAGTATTAATACCAATATTAATATCAGTATTACTATTATTAGTAATATCAATATTAGTATTATTATTAGTATTATTATTAATATTATTATTAATATTAGTATTAGTATTAGTATTAGTATTAGTATTAGTATTATTATTAGTATTAGTACTAGTATTAGTATTAGTATTAGTATTAGTATTAGTATCAGTATTAGTATCATTATTAGTATCATTATTAGTATCAATATTGATATAAGTATTGGTATAATTATTGGTATTGGCGTATACATCTTATCTCTTTTGCAATATTTATAAGTTGTGTTGTTGTTTGATGAATGTGCATCACTAATTGAATGTTGTTAGTGATAAACTTGCAAGTTATTTGAATATGATCTATTGTGTTACCTCCATGCTAATGTGTTTGTTGTTAAGTTAGTTATTTTGTAGAGGATTTACATGGTGTAGTAGATTGCATTCTATGAAATAGATTTATACCATATTTTTAAATTATTTCACTTAATCTTCATATCTTGCTTTGCGCCATTCGCGTATTTTTCTTTGTAATATTTAATTGAATTTCAAATGTTACGACTCTGAATTAAGAGATAATTTTTTTATTTCCTTCCATTTTGTTTTACTTGAATTGGTGTTGTTATAAAGAGATAATCGTTTAAATGTTATTATTTTTCTCATTTTGAAACTGATATCCGTGCAACGCACGGGTGAAGTACTAGTTGTGTATGTATAGTAGAATCGATATACCTACCTACCTCCAATTTGACAATAAATGTTAAGTGTTTCCAACCAACCAGATATGATATATAAACCATGAGTTATTAACTGTACGTACAGTTTAATTAGAATTGCCTGCCGGAGGATATATCATATATGTATATGTATTTCAATTATATATATTAATGTCACTGCACACATGATTAAATTATAATACATGTATATCTATATATATATACTCCACAATTCAACTTTAGTTCTCATGACTGACAATTGAAGCCGAGTATCTCTGTTATACAGTGATTTTTTTTAGTATGGGCTAAAGTAAGTACATGCAATACAATGAGGAGTGAGGACAGAACCAAAAATTCAAATATAATGTTTCTACTACACATACAATGATATTTTATACATACAGGTGCAGTACTTCCACTTGTTTTTTATAGTGGAATAATTGACCACCTAGCTAACAGATCAAGAAAAAAATATAATAATTAATAATTGATAAATGTAGCCAAAAAGTCGGCATGTGCTGCTGCATAAGCATTGCATTGCATGTGAATCTGATTGATTTAATTTGCTACAAAACAAAATACAGAGAGATATATACCCCCGCCCCTTAGAGCTAATAAGCTGGCTTCCTCTTCCCCTTCTCACATATCTACCCTACCACATGATATTTACATATTTATATCTTTATTATTGTTATAAGTAATTAGTACTCCATCATATATATATAATAACCCATTGTACGTATTGCAACAGTCTTTATTATTTTATTTAATATTAATATTATTGGGATTACCAAAATCACATTAATATGTTTTTATTTCAACCATCGTCTGATATTAATTATTTGATCATATCTTTCTGTTGTTTACAGTGTCAGTGTGTCACTACATAGTTATTTTATGATTAATAATGTAACATTGTCCTATATGTTGTCGATCTCTAGTTTCATAGTTAAATATATATATGCTTCATAAGCCAGCCATAATAATATTGGATTTAGTGCTCCCTCCCACCAACCTCTATTATTTGTTCAAAACAAGTAGCTACTGAAATTACAGCAAATTTAATTTTTTTACTTTTTTTTATATGCATTAATTATTAATTGCATTTCTATTTTGAAAACCCATTATGTATATATATTGCCCCTATATATCATCATATTATAATGTCTGATCTGACTCCAAGAAGACATATATACCTCAAGATGCTGTTGATGCCTACCAAATCAAGATCTTACAGATAGTAATAACATAATTAAATAAAAATATCACGAAATTGTAATTAATTAATATTAAATAAATCTCTGTTCATTCATAATTATTTCTATCAGCTATGCAAATATTTCATAATTAGTTTGCATTACGTACTGCACTACTTTTTTGGAAGTTGATGAGAGAGCTTTAATTTAAATTTTAAGGTGTGGTTTTGATGCAAAATTAGAGGAACGTACAGAAGAGAGAGTGGGAGTTAAAAGGCGGCTGCTTCAAGGATGCCACTAACAAAAATTTATGTTGTCGTCACTCGCCCATGATTATTATTTATTATTAATTACTGAATATGAATACTTCATACCTAAGTCATATATATATGTATGAATGGAGGGCCATTTAGTCATTTTAATATCTAGAATAAATTAAGTGTAAATTGCCAAGTTTGAAAATTTTGTAGACTCGTCAATAATACAGGTAAGAGTATTTATTGATAGTGAAAGTTTTTATTATTATATTATTTTACAATATGTTATTGATAAGAAGAATTAGAAAAAGGTTTATACTCATGTTATGGATAACTCATAAATCTCACCATGATCAACAGCATATGTATATAGTATATACACAGTCCAGAACAAGACAATTAATAATAATAATAATAATAATGAAAAAGGAAATAGTAATACCATCAAAATCTAATTGGGTTTTTTCAAAAAGTTTTTCTTAGTTTCCAATAATCAATCCATACAACTAATCCCACTAAATTTTTCATCCCCACAAAACAAGTCCCAACCCCACCACTAACCAATAAGTGTGTAAGTACTTACATTATATATACGTAAGATCTTCAAATAAATACCCAACTAAATTACATGACAAATAATTTGTCACAATCTTTGTTGTAGAGAAAGAAATCCAATGTTTATTTAGTCAAATACTACTGAAATAATAATTTAATATAATTTTTTATAAAGAAATCAAAACCAAAATCACACCATTAAGTTACTATATTGTATAAAAAATAATCCGAAGAAGGTAAAAAAACGACATAGGGATCTTCACTGGCCAAAAAAAAAAAGTAGGGTCCCTAAAATAAAATAAGTTTCCTTGGCAACAAAATACAAACGTATGTTGCTGTCTTCTTACTCTAAATAACACCCCCCATGACATCCCCACCGTCAACTATTTTCCTCCACCTATTTTCTTTGTTTCCTTACTCTCTTCTTCTTCTTATTTACTCCCTCTCCCTCCCCCTCTCTCTCTCTCTTCACCCCCCCCACACACACACACACCTACCTGTTTGTTGCCTTGTTTTTTCAACCTTAGCTTTTCTATCCCTTACCTAAATCCCCAGAGAGAGAAAGTTGAAGTTGGTGTAATCATCATCATCAATGGTGAAGCTTGTAGTTGAAGTCCTGGATGCCAATGATCTGATGCCTAAAGATGGGCATGGCAACGCCAGCCCTTTTGTGGAAGTAGTGTTTGAAGAGCAGCGCCAAAGAACTTCAACCAAGTCTAAAGATCTGAACCCTTGTTGGAATGAAAAACTTGCTTTCAATATCCAGAATCCCAGAGATTTTCCAAATAAAACAATTGAGGTTTTGGTCTACAACGACAACAATAATGGACAGCACAAGAATTTTCTTGGAAGGGTTAGGATTTCTGGCATGTCTGTTCCTCTCTCTGAGCACGAAGCCACTCTTCTTCGGTACCCTCTTGATAAAAGAGGTCCCTTTTCTCGGGTCAAGGGTGATATTGCTTTGAGAGTATATGCTGTGCATGGTGGTTTTGATGAATTCCATTCTTTCGATCCAGTCAAGCAAGTTTTGCACCAGGCCGAAGCTGTGGAGAACCACTATAATCATAATCAAAATCAAAATCATCATCATCACAAAGGCCCAGAAACCACTTCTACTCCGCTGCAGGAGATTAATAATACTAATAAGTTTGAGGATGAGTATTACTACAAGGAAAACCACGAGAAAAACATAAAGAAAAAGAAGGAAAAGGAGGTCAGAACTTTTTACTCTTTGGGGACTGGTTCAGGAGGTGGGGGCCCCCCTCCACCGCCTGCTGAAAAGCCAGTTTTCGTGGAGACTCGGAGCGATTTTCACAAGGCCGGAGCAGCACCAGCAGCCACTATGATGCAAATGCAATTTCCGGGGCAGAAACCAGAGTACGGAGTGGTGGAGACTAGACCTCCTTTGGCTGCAAGAATGGGTTATTGGGGAAGGGACAAAACTGCGAGCACTTATGATTTGGTGGAGCAGATGAATTTTTTGTATGTTAGTGTTGTCAAGGCTAAGGATCTTCCTGTGATGGACATGACTGGAAGTCTGGATCCCTATGTGGAGGTGAAAGTTGGGAATTACAAAGGGGTCACTAAGCATTTGGAGAAGAACCAGTATCCCGTTTGGAACAGCACTTTTGCGTTTTCAAAGGAGAGACTGCAGAGCAATTTGATCGAAATTAGTGTCAAGGACAAGGATTTTGGGAAGGATGATTTTGTGGGGAAAGTGTTGTTTGATCTAGCAGAGGTGCCTCAACGCGTGCCTCCGGATAGTCCTCTGGCTCCCCAGTGGTACAAATTGGTGGACAAGAAAGGGGATAAGTTCAATCACGGTGAGGTCATGCTTGCAGTTTGGATGGGTACACAAGCTGATGAAGCCTTTTCAGAGGCTTGGCACTCTGATGCTCACAGCTTAAGCCAGCACAGCCTTGCAAATACGAGATCCAAAGTATATTTCTCCCCAAAACTTTATTACCTTCGAGCCCATATCATGTTAGCACAGGATCTTGTCCCTTCGGACAAAGGACGACAGCCTGATACATTTGTGAAGGTGCAGCTGGGGCATCAAATCCGAGTCACTAGGCCTTCACCAATGAAGCACGTCAATCCAGAGTGGAATGAGGAGCTTATGTTTGTGGCTTCTGAGCCTTTTGACGAGTATATAATCATCAGTGTGGAGGACAGGATTGGACCGGGCAAGGATGAGGTGATTGGAAGGATCTTTATACCGGTTAGAGAAGTTCCACAGAGAGTAGAAACTTCTAAGCTGCCAGATGCCAGGTGGTTTGCTCTCCAAAAGCCATCTATGGCAGAGGAAGAAGGGGATAAGAAGAAAGAGGCGAAATTTGCTAGCAGAATTCTCCTTCGACTCTGCATAGATTCAGGTTACCATGTCCTCGACGAGTCCACCCATTTCAGCAGCGATCTTCAGCCATCATCCAAGCATCTGAGAAAGCCCAGCATTGGACTTCTTGAAGTTGGTATCTTGAGTGCTAGAAATCTGCTGCCGATGAAGGGCAGAGAAGGTAGAATGACAGATGCTTATTGCGTAGCAAAGTATGGGAACAAATGGGTCCGGACCAGAACGCTTCTAGACACCCTGCATCCCCGTTGGAACGAGCAGTATACTTGGGAAGTTCACGATCCTTGTACAGTGATAACAATTGGTGTCTTTGACAACTGCCACATCAATGGGAAGGATGATGTGAAGGATCAGAGGATTGGCAAGGTTAGAATTAGGCTCTCAACCTTGGAGACCGATCGAATTTACACCCATTCATATCCATTGCTGGTTCTTTCACCATCTGGTTTGAAGAAGCACGGGGAGCTCCACTTAGCAATACGTTTCACATGCACAGCCTGGGTGAACATGGTTGCACAGTATAGCAGACCACTGCTCCCAAAGATGCATTATGTTCAACCGATATCAGTTAGGCACATTGATTGGCTACGACACCAGGCAATGCAGATAGTGTCTGCAAAACTAATACGGTCTGAGCCGCCACTTAGAAAGGAGATAGTGGAGTACATGTTGGATGTGGATTACCATATGTGGAGCCTTAGGAGGAGCAAAGCCAACTTCCACCGCATAATGTCCCTTCTTTCTGGGATTTCATATGTCGCCAGATGGTTCGGTGGCATCTGTTACTGGAAAAATCCTCTAACAACTATCCTTGTCCACGTGCTGTTTCTGATACTAGTATGCTACCCAGAGCTGATATTGCCTACAATATTCCTCTACCTCTTTGTGATTGGTTTGTGGAACTACAGGTTGAGGCCAAGGATTCCTCCCCACATGGATGCTCGTCTTTCTCAAGCAGAGAACACTCATCCAGATGAACTAGACGAGGAATTCGATACGTTTCCAACGTCAAGACCATCTGACATTATAAGGATGAGGTACGATAGGTTGAAAAGTGTTGCAGGAAGAGTTCAAACTGTGATTGGAGATTTGGCAACACAAGGAGAAAGGGCACTGTCTATATTGAGCTGGAGAGATCCCAGGGCCACAGCCATCTTTATTATATTTTCATTGATCTGGGCTGTTTTTTTGTACGTTACTCCTTTCCAAGTTGTGGCGGTGCTGATTGGGCTTTACGTGCTGCGCCATCCTCGTTTCAGAAGCAAAATGCCATCAGTGCCTGTCAATTTCTTCAAGAGATTACCAGCAAGGTCAGACTCCCTTCTCTGAGATTATATAATAGCAGAAATTTTTATTTGGTAAATAAATTCAATAAAGTATGAAACAGTTGCCAAACGTGAATTCGCTTCTCAGAGGCATAGCACCTCCCCCTATATCTCCAGTTTATGTATTCAGAATAATAATTTCCGTTCTCTAATTTTTTGATAATATTCAATATTTTATTGAAAGAAGAAGGCAAGCGAAAACCTGAGTATGTGTTGGTGTATGCATGATTTAAAACAAAATAAACACAAAATCCACAGATTTTGAAGTAGAAGACGCGACGAGAGTATGTGAAAATGATAAGAGAGAATAACCTGAGTGCTTGGGAATTTGAGAATATCCTGTTGTTCTTCGTTTCATTAGTGATTGCCGATTCAAGGCTAATGGGAATCTTGTGATTTGGGGCTTCGGCTCCAAAATCAAATTAATGTTAATAGCATGTCAATCACTAATGGGTCGTATTTCATTTCAATTGAATCATTTAGCCCCTAACTAAATAGTAAATACCCATTTTAACATTTTATAATTTAATTATATGTGTTAGTTTCAAATTGAAAGCTGAAAGAAAAAATAAAATGCTTAGAAAATGGACATCTTCCAGTATTCATAATCAACTCAAATCAATAATATGGAGAATATGTGTATGAAAGTGGCAAGTGCAAAGCATTAAGCATGTGACATATATAGGATATAGTAATAGTAGATACAAATTTATAGATAACAAATGTTAATAAAGCATTAATAATAATAATAATCATCTTCCAGTTCCAGTTCCAGTGGTTCCACCACCTAGACCTAGTACCGGTGGTAAGATGTGATCAAACCCAACACTGCTGCTACTATTACTATAACTTGTACTCTACTAGTGTTGTTTACGACGAATCCACTGAATCCCTGATCAGCACCACCATTAACACACCATCCTTGATCATCGTCATCTCCATCATTATTTACTGATGACTGTTGTACTGATGATGTTAATGATAATATTCCCTCAAGCTCCATTGCCACTTGTTTCATCGTCGGCCTATCTTCTCCTCTAACATTCAAACACCTTTTCGCAAGCACTCCTACTCTCGTCACATTTCCCTCATCTACATCTCTCCCCACAATAATAATTTCAAACAAACTCTCTTTCTTCTGCCCTTTCATCACACACACGAAATAATTCGCTAAACTTCTATCCTCCTCAGCCCTATCATATTCATAGCACAACGCCTTCTTTCCTGTTAGCAGCTCCACAAGCACTACTCCAAAGCTGTACACATCGCTCTTCTCCGTCAGTTGATTCGTTTGCATGTACTCTGGATCCAAATATCCAAATGTCCCCTGCACCATTGTAGATAGTTGCTTTTCATCCAAAATCCGACACTTTTGCTGTCAACTTATGGTCTAATAGAATATTAGCCGACTTCACATCTCTGTGTATGACGCAGACGAGTGTAGATACCCGTGTAACAATTGGAATTCACACTTTTGCAAGCATATGTAGAAGAGTTCATCTGGGCATCCTCACAAGTCCCATTTCCAATGGCCCAATCAACCACCATGGGAAGACTTACTACACTCTTCAAGTTGGTCAGATTCTCCGGAGAAAAGGTGAAAGCAGTCTCCTCCACTAGAAAACCGTAGCTGCAATTATTGAAATCCGAAACCTCACTGTAATTGTTGTAGGCTGTAGCTCTTCAAAGCTAACTCCACTCTCCAAACTTGTTTAGGAATAGATGTCTGGCAGCAGCCTAACCCTGGATCAGATCATCTTTGGCATAGCACATGGCAGTGCACCCGGTCTGGTAATTCCGGTTAAGTCGGCGGCCGGAGACGAAACCATAAGTATCGCAGCCGACGATAGTGAACTTATTGGCTGTGTTGTTAACTGTAAGGGAAATGGGGAGGTATATTGAAGGATCGTTGGTTGAAGATCTAGTATGATTTGGATAGTAGCAGTCGTGTGCTATGAACTGCAAGACTGTGAGCTGGCCGTCGAGTGTAATATTTGTGATTTCAATGGTGGAGTTCTGCAAGTATGGTTTTCACATTTCCTCTCTTGTGCCGAAAGGAAATGGGATGTTCACATTCCCACATCGATCGGTGCAACCTGGCTTTGCTATTGATGAGTTACTGGTGCAACTGCAACTGATGATGATGTACTAACTGAGGCATCTAAAGGAAGAAGAAGAAGAAGAAAAAGAAGACCTGCATCATGAAACAATCCCATGATCATGTTATGCATGTTTTCTTGGACCAAGATTATTTTAAAGTAGTATACATGTATATATCATGGAGAATTAATTAATCAATGGTTCTAAAAAAGATATATTTGGAATTTTCAATCAGAAAAGGTTTGTGTGGATGGCTTTATGTAACATGTATTAGCCTTCTTTCTAGAGGAGGGGGGGGAGATCTTTCTGCACTGATTACTATTATTAATATCAAATTGTAAATAATATTAATTTAAATCCCCGGCCTTTTAGGGACGTTAGATTCAGTACAGATTTCGTCTTCGTCAACCCATCTTTTTCATGCTTCCCTGTCTCCATTTATTACAATTACAACTATGGTATATTTTGAATTAGTCTACTACTACTTCAAACATGATTAATTAGTCCTTGTAAATAAGATTAATAAATTGGACTCAACAGACCAAACATAATACACATGGGGAGTAAAATATAATATTGCAATTTCAATGTGCTTTAAAATGAAAAGACGGAAAAAGGATGAATTAAAAGAATTAAAGAATTACTAGAATTAAATCCCCTTCCCTGTTTTCAACCCTAAAACCCCTCTGTTCCGCCAAAACCATTTTCATCTTCATCTTCATCTTCATCTTCATCTTCATCTTCTTTCCTTCAGTCGACATGTATATTTAGACGTGCGTGACTTAGTGGAACTCTTTCTTTCTGTATAGTTTGAATTGGGAGTGAGATGCACCATAGTGATGCAGAAACTGCTGCGCAGAACCCCCGTTACCCCGCCTATTTTATTGGTTAATACTCCCCTCTCTCTACCCGTCTCCAACGCTGCCTTTCTTTCTATAGGCTTTTCCGGCGGCCCCCCCAAAATGTTTTCTTCCGCCCACTCTCTCCACCATCCTCATCCCTTGAACCATCCAAGAAAATCCCTTTCACCCCCCACGCCTCAGGGCCTTCTTTTCAAGAGTTCCTCTCCCTGCACTTGTTCTTTTGAGAACAGCAGCAGCAATACGGTGCCGTTGAGGGCCTGGGTGGTATCCAAAGACACTAATAAATATGCTACTCTCGGTGTTGGTGTTGGGTCCCACAGAGCGGCATGGTTCACTACACTTGCTGGTAATTCGAGTAAATGTTGTGAACTTCCTGCGTCAGAGGAGGGAGAGAATGACGTCGAAAATGTGAAAGGGGCGGAGGATAGGAGAGTGCAAAGGAGGCAGAGGAGTGGTGGAGCTGCCACTTTGTTGGTGGGGAGCCCGGATTTACTCACCGTTCCAGGAGTGGGTCCCAAGAATTTAAGGAAGCTGGTGGAGAAAGGGTTTGAGGAAGTAGCCCAGCTCAAACAGCTCTATAAAGATAAGGTATTTTACTGATGTGGTATGGTGCTGCTTTGACTTTCTTGGTTATTTTGAGCACGTTGAACTTTTGTTGTTTGGTATTCTTTTTGTCGGGCTTAGACTGTTGGTGTATGGGAAAAAAACAGGAAAAATTAAGTGAATTTTAGTTTCATGCCATAAAAAAGTTGTGTTGACTTGCAGAATTATGTGTCATGATTGTTCCGGTTGTGGCCTGAGATTGGTGTGGGTTATGTAGAAAAAAAAAGGGGTTCTTGGTTGACTTGTATTTTATATCTGTATTCGTCCGTGGGGAAGGATTTTATATCACTTGTGCAGTTAGCTTACAACATAATAATAACACAAGCAGGTATTGTTGTGATGCAGTTTTTCGGTAAATCAAGTCAGAAGATGGTGGAGTTCTTACAGAGTTCAGTGGGGATCATACACAAGAACCATGCTGAGAGTATAACTACATTTATAAAGGAGAGTGTTGATGAAGAGCTGAAGGAAAACAGTGTAAAACCTGCTCAAAAGAAGAGAATAACTTTATGTGTTGAAGGCAATATCAGTGTGGGAAAGTCTACGTTCCTGCAGAGAATAGCTAATGAAACAATTGAGCTTAGAGACCTTGTGGAGATTGTTCCTGAACCAGTTGACAAGTGGCAGAATGTGGGTCCAGACCACTTTAACATATTAGATGCATTTTATGCGGAGCCAGAGAGATACGCATATACCTTCCAAAACTATGTATTTGTTACAAGAGTTATGCAGGAGAGGGAGTCATCTGCCGGCATTAAGCCCCTCAGACTAATGGAACGGAGTGTCTTCAGTGATAGAATGGTATGTAATAATATAACATCAGATGCATTTGGTATCTAAATTCTCTCATTAATCAATGGATTATTTCTGCTGATAATGCACTTTGTTATCAAGGTTTTTGTGAGAGCTGTTCATGAGGCAAAATGGATGAATGAGATGGAAATTAGCATTTATGACTCATGGTTCGATCCGGTTATTTCAAGCTTGCCTGGTCTTATTCCCGACGGTTTTATCTATTTGAGGGCAAGCCCAGATACCTGCCACAAGCGTATGATGTTGCGTAAGAGAGCAGAAGAAGGCGGAGTAACTCTAGATTATCTGCAAGGATTGCACGAGAAGCACGAGAGCTGGCTTTTCCCATTCCAAAGTGGAAATCACGGAGTTCTTTCTGTCAGTAAGCTACCAAACGAAGTCGATTGGTCTTTGCATCCCAATATAAGGGACCGTGTGTTCTATTTGGATGGTGATCATATGCACTCTAGTATCCAAAAGGTGCAAACTCTGCTTGCTTATATCTCAATTGTTTTCCAGGACATTTTGTTTTTCTTTATTGTTCTTTTTTATATATGTATATTCTTTTATTTTGGTTTGTGCAGGTTCCTGCATTGGTTCTTGATTGTGAACCAGACATTGATTTTAGCAGAGACGTAGACGCTAAGCGGGAGTATGTTCCTTGTTGAATTTCTCTGTTTTTTGATAAGGGTATCTTTTATACTTGTCTCGTGATGCAATGTTGTAAATTTATTTTGTGCTGGATTTATTGTGTGTGAAGGTATGCACGACAGGTGGCAGAGTTCTTTGAATTTGTGAAGAAAAAGAAGGAAGTTAGTGACTCAAATGTTGGAGAAGATGCATTAAAAAGCAACCCGGTAGTGTTACCAAATCATGGAAACTTGTGGATGCCGGGAACACAACCTTCCCTCAACTCGTTGGATTTCAAAAAAGCCATGTCATTCATGTCTCAACAGTGAACTAGTGTGTGCTTCTTCTGTCTTGAGATTTTATGTAAAAATATGTTTATTAACCGCCACCCAACTTTTAGAGGTATCAGGAGGAGTTGTAATTTTTTATCGATTGTCTTCAATGAAAGCTTGCGTTGTTTAGATACTGCAAAGAATGTCTTTCGTCTTCATCAGAATCATATATGACAAGTAAAACAGAAACAAACTTGTAATCATATTTACAACAACAATGAGGGAATTAAATCACCAAATAAAATAATAATTCTTTGAGGATGTTCAGCAAGTCCAGGAGGAACATCTCTTAAAAACATGCTTCATCTGCTTGTCTTGTTCAAGAGAAATCATCCCCAAGTTAGAAGGATCCTCCAACATCATTTTTGCGACTAAATATCCAGCAATTGACCATGTCTGGTTTTTCCTTGCTTGCTTACCTATATACCTTCCCAGTTTGCCATCATAGTATTCTGGCCACCCATCCTTCCCCAAACGGCTCTCTGCTATATCTATTGCTCGTCTTGCAATCTGCGGCCTCCCAGTTTTGATCGATGCAGCTGTCACCATCCATAACAGCACTGCAATATACACACATTGCAACATTATATATTTAGATATTCGTAATTATATATAGTGAAAGCAAATGACTATCTATACCTGGCCAAGACCCTCCATTATGATAACTCCATCTTGTATTCTTGGGATCACAGCCCGTCACTATTCGCCACTCATGATTTTCAATAGCTGGGTAACATATTTTCATAGGCATCTCTCCAACCAACTCCTCCCACCTTCCTTCAATCAGGTCCATTATTGCACATGCTTGCTCATGACTGGCTAGAGAAGACAATATTGCCACACAGTTGCCCAATGCAAACCACCTAAAATCCATCCTCGCCGGACTTACATTTCCGACGAAATATCCGCCACGTGTCGGCATAAAGTCGAACACCCACTCCGGTATCGAATCCGGAATTACGTTAAACTTATTCACAGCAGTATGGGAATATTCCTCTGTTTTATAACGATATATATCATTTAGTTGCTGGAAATCGATCCAAAAGTAACTTCTCATATGATAGCTCAAGGCGTGCAAACGCTTTTCTATTCTCTCGATGAACTCTTGTCCTTCTTCGTCTTGCTTCATCATTACGAGAGCACATCTTAATGCCATAAAGAAGAGTGCTTGTATCTCAATAGGGTACCCATATATTCCCTGTTAAAATACTTCAAATATGACAACAAAAAAATGATTAATAAAGAGTGTTAGGAGAGAGAGAGATTTATTCATTCTGACCATTCTACGATCGATCATGGAGCAACCATCGGCACAAAGCAAAGTGGGGAATGTGTCGAATCCTTCAGAGAGACAGAGCGTGAGTATAAGTCTCATACCCTTTTGGCATTCTGCAGTTTCGGCAAGAGATAAATCTCCTGTGGATTTTGTATAAGCACGCAGAAGAATAATCCACCAGAAACCAGAATCAACAGGAGCAACTCTGCCGATAGCACTCTCACCAAAATCTGCAACTATGGTATCCGTTTTACGAACAGGATGGTGAAGAACTTTGAAGCTAGCAGGCATAGCACCCTCACCCAATTTGAACCTATCTATTTTCTTCTCCCACCCTTGTAGCTGAAGTGTCTTGAGTAAAAAGTTCTTCACAATATCAGGCTCACCGTTCATTAGAAAAGCCAGGGCACTCGGTACAAAATCTCTAACAAAAACCTGATCGTAATTCAAGACTTCTTCAGAAGCATGATCGTAAGCAGCGATTGTGCCGACCGGTTGACCACGGAAGTAGACCAAGGAGCGTCGAAGCGCCTCCCACGCATCTGCAACAATCGGATGAGGCTCGAAAGAATCATCAGCTGCTGATGATCTGGTGGGGCTGTCCAATGGTGAGTATATACTCTCGTAAGTATCTAAACCTCTGATTAAACCGATTGATAACTCGCTGAGTGACCTATCGTCGAATGATATTTTCCGCTCTATGTTTAATCGTGGCTTGCCGATTAGCTTTGAGAGATCGTAGTCGTTGATTGAGCTAACATTTGTAAGTCCAAGAATATCTTTTGCAACGTCAGTTTCCTTCTTCTTACCATCCAAGACGACATTAACACCATCCATGATTTATGTTTGATTCCAAAACAAAGATCTTCTGAATCACAGAGAAATTCTCATCATCAGACCACACAAGGCAAATAACATTATCATGCATGTGTACAAAAAGAGGATAAACACAAGCTTTTACCAAGTTTTAGAAAGCCAAAGTAAAGAAGCCTAGCTAACAACCATATGTAAAGAAGAAGAGAAATTAACAACCATACTATATATTAATAAGCTTAATTACCTTACCCACATGCAGTGGAAGCTAAGTCTATAAATAAAATCTTTGGCTCTGATTTTGCCGAGCAATAACGACAGGTTTTGTCATCTATTTAATAATTAAGTCAGCAACTTTACAACAGATTTCATGTGAGTGATGTGAGAAAAACTTGGGAAACGAAGAACGTAAAACTAAGCTGATAATTTGAATGACTTGCATCACGTAAAAAGAGAGAGCAACCACGTGTATTGCAGAAGAGAACAGGAGGTACAGACATTGAAATCCTATATAATAAGAAAAAGGAAACTAAGTCGTTGAATAATGGATGTATATATCTGAAGCAAACTAATAAATAGTTAATGCGAATAAGAATGCAGAAGAAGAAAATGAAATAGACAAGAATGCATGCAGAACAAGAGATGGTGCAATCAATATAACCCACAAAATTCAAAAGATGAATAAGGTTGCAAATTAAAAATAAACAAGAGAGGTACGCACGTATATCGTCAATTAATATATAAAAGATGAAGAAACATGATGATGCATGTATACGTACGTATAATAGAATTAGAGGGCAAACCTTGAAGATGGTTGGATTTGTGAGACAGGAAATAATATATATAATTATATATAGGGGATGAGCCAAAAAAAAAAAAAAAAAAATTGTAAAGGAAGAAGACAGGAAAAACATATATCGATCAATAATATGATGATGATGATGAGCATGAATGCATGTTATTCGAATCTTCTTTCTTATAAATTTTATAGACCAACCAACCAACCAACAAATTAACATCAACCAAACCAGAAAACACTGTCGTCTGCAATGCAATGTGAATAGACAGACCGGTGAGAAGAGAGAGAGAGAGAAAGAGAGATGGATAAAATATTTTTTTCTTTTTATATAAACTTATCCAAAACAACCCTAATATAATCACCCTAACCACAATTTCCTTACCCTGGCTTTCAGGACAACGTGCTTCATATGTACTAAATTTAGAACCTCACATGTTTTTCTTTTACTTATTATTATTATTAATAATTTAATTTTGATATCTGCTAAACGACCACATGCAATGACTTATGACCCCCAACCCACCGACACCTCTCTATTTGCATCTGAAAAATAAAGCAAAAGTGACCTCCCCTCTGACTTTCATACAATTGAGTAAACAAATTTCACATTTTCATCTTAAAAATAATGCACGCTTATTTGACTTTGAAAAAAAAATCAGCTAATTATTAAAATTCTTACAAAATATTTGATTGAGATTCTCTGTCATCAAATAATCTGTAATTATATTAGAGTAATGTGTACCTCTAAAGAGATATGATTACTTGATTAGAGTATAATTTAAAAAAGAATTAATGGGAAATTTAAAAAAGAATTAATGGGTTCATGCTATTGGGTCTCTCTAATTTAAACAATTGGGCCAGACAAACAATTAGCCCAATCTATCTACAGGTTTTGTTGATCCATAACTAATTCAGATTCCTTTTCGTTTCAGATCCACCAACCACCACCATCATCATCATCAATTCATCATCACGCACTGCGTTTCTTTCTCACGCCGACTGTTGTGTGAGTTGCGACACACAGAGCGAGAGAGAGAATCCGACCGAAGTTGTTGAATCTCTTCTGTTATTACTGTTATGCAGTTGAAACCTATCAAGACATTTGCAATAACACTCATGTTAGGGTTTTCACTCATCATCCTCTTCCTAACAACTGCCTTTCTACAAACCCCATCTGCCAATTCTTCAATCCCATTACCTAATTACTCTAGTTTTCACACCCTTTCAACAAGTTCCACCACCCCACAACCTTTCAAAGACTTATTCAATGCATACAAAAATTGGGATTCCCAAGTGGGTTGTGCCAACTTCAGGGAAAAACACACTGACTTATCTCTAAATAGGTCAAAGATCTCGTCTTTACAGAATGTTCAGGGTGAAATCCATTGTGCTGATTTGCTGATGAACCATGTCTCTATTCTGGTCAAAGGCTGGACTTGGATTCCTGATAATATGGATAATTTGTATAGCTGTAGATGTGGGTTGACCTGTTTATGGTCCAAATCTTCTCTTCTTGCTGATAATCCTGATGCCCTGTTCTTTGAATCCGTTACTCCTCCATTCCAGGTTTTTACTTCTTCCACTTACTTTTCCATTGGTGCACTTTCTGTTTATTCGGATATCTCACTCAATTTTAGGGTTTTTGCTTTCTTTGTTCTATGGTTTACACTCTTAAAAAAATACTTCAAGATCAATGTACAATTTCAGTAACTGCTACTTTGAGTTCCGATTCTTGTTCATTGATGTGATAGTTAGCTTTTCATCATCACTAATATAGCTCTGCCTGTTATATTTTGCAAGGATAATGTGTCTCAATTTTAAATGGTCCAAACATTATCCCCTGAATCGAAATTTCAAAATTCTTTAAGCAGGAAAAAGATTTAAGGATAGGCGAATAGAAGCCGCCTTCACCACCTTCCCATACGACTATCGACTAGAATTTTTATGCATCTTGGTATCAACACTGAGCCATATTTTAGTGTAAATCCTTCTCCTTCACCATTGAGCTGGCATCATACATAATAATTACCTATTGGTATTGGAAGGAGTAACCGGGAAAAAAATCCCAGTTGATGAGTTGGGAGGCAACTGCATAATCAAGGGTTTCAGGATTTTACTAATGTTTCTCTTAAACAAGATTTATGGATTCGCATATCTGACTAGTTTATTTTGCTTGGTCTATTTCCACATGACCCGTGAGTTTTTCGTTAAGCTTCATCATACTAAGTGTCATCTTTACTTTTGATAGAGACAAGATGGTGATCCACTTCGTGTATATATGGATCTTGAAGCTGGCAGAAAGAGGTCGAGCTACGAGGACATCTTTATAAGTTATCATGCTAAAGACGATGTCCAGTCAACTTATGCTGGGGCGCTCTTTCATAACAACCGAAATTATCAATTATCTTCCATTAAGAACAACGTAAGTCTTTTTCATGGAACAATTCTATAGTTAGTCACCATACATTTGTTTACTATTTTTATTTATTTTTTTTAAATTTGGTATTTGAAGGACACTCTTGTTTATTGGTCTTCATCACGGTGCTTGCCTCAAAGGAATGAGCTTGCTAAAAAGCTACTAAGACTTTTGCCCCACCATTCTTTCGGCAAGTGCTTGAACAACATGGGAGGCATAGACAGAGCACTCTCTCTATATCCTGAGTGTGTGAAGGATCCGAATGAAGCACCTAAATGGTGGGATCATCTGCATTGTGCTATGTCCCATTATAAGTTTGTCCTGGCAATTGAAAACACTATGACAGAGAGTTATGTGACGGAAAAACTGTTTTATGCACTAGATTCTGGAGCAGTTCCCATATATTTTGGTGCCCCAAATGTGTGGGACTTTATACCTCCTCACTCGGTTATAGACGGTACACAATTCAGTTCCATGGAGCAACTGGCTTCTTATGTCAAGTCTGTAGCCAACGATCCTATCGCATATGCAGAGTATCATGCATGGAGGAGATGTGGTGTATTAGGTAATTATGGAAAGACTCGTGCAGCTAGTCTCGACACTTTACCTTGTAGGGTATGTGAGGCCGTGAGCAGAAAAAATGGGAGAAATGCAAAGGCTTTTTAAACCAACTGCCCGATACTTTTTGATGATTTTTGCGTGATAGTACATTGTTAGAGAGTAGTATATACAAGCACTGAGAATTAGATGTAGAAAGACTTGAACGCTGACAATTCGAATTGTACAGAATTTTTTGCTGCTAACTTTAACTCGTGCTTATATATATATATATATATATATATATATATATATATATATATATATATATATATATATATATATGTGTGCATAGAAAGGATGGATGCACTCTGGGAGATGATACAAGTATTTGGCCTTTTTACTCTTGTTCTGTAAGGATGAATTTGTTGTGAAGAATGATTTCCAACTGCAATTTACTTATTTACTCTATTGTTTTTACATTTCTCTCTCTCGGGTAAGGCCAAAACGGGCCTTTAATTGATTTTTGCTGGGCTTTTAATTGTTGGGCCGTTAAATGAAAATATTATCATTTTTCATAAGGAAAAATAAAATTAGTAAAATTTGGAGTACCCACAAAATTATCAAAAAAAAAAAAAGAAAAACTAATTTAATGAGAAGTTGTTCATAATTCGGCCCATTAACCCGTTTGAACGGCGCTCATCTCGCAACACTTTTCTTCTGATTTGGGATAGTCGAGTAGGTACAAGACGACACTTTCTCCCTCACTCTCGAATCAATCGATAACCCCTCACTGAAGCCGAAGCCGCCGGAAACTATGGAGAATCTGGGCCTCGTTTCTTCACCCAAAATTGTGCTTGGAGTCTCTCCGAATCCTAGGAACTCGGTCATTTCCAGCAAACCATTGGTAGGTCTTCCTAATTTACTCAAGAAAACCGGCAACTATGGCAGACACACCACCATTCACACTTCCTCGCTCCAAGTCCTTTCTTTGTTTCGCTCGCCTAAACCCACCAAAACTATAGGTAACACACTCTTCGATTCCTGTGTCTGTGTAATTCTTTTTTTGTGTCCAAACCCTGATTTTTGTTTTCAAATATACTCCCTTGCAACTACAAAGAGTGGAACTCTGAAACATAACCACTCTGCTGATTGTCTTTCCCTAGGACACTATACAACTAATACTCTCTCTATGTATGGATTATCATTTTTTTTAGAAGGTGGGAGTGTTCCTAAGCATGCCACAATTCTTTCGGAAGAACTTTAGCTATGTTGCACTGGCATGGCAACTTATTGTTACTGCGTTTCGGACTCACAATTCATGGAAACTTTGCGGTCCATTTCCATAATTACTGAAAAATTAGAAACGCTTTTCAGTAGTACACCCCTAATATTTGTGTTCCTTAATTTTGATAAGATTTTGATCACCAATTGTAAATTGATAGTTGGTGCTTATATTTATGTCAATAAATTATATGAAAATATACAAAAACATTATAATTTATAAGTGTGTGTGTGTGTGTGTGTGTGTGTGTGTGTGTGTGTGTAATACACATGAGTTCTTAGTTCATCTGTCTATGCAACATGGATGGCGAGCTTCTTATTTAACTATAGACGTAAATTGGTTCTAATTTTGCAGATTAGGAAATTTTACTTGGAAATAAGTAAACATCGTCTCAAATCAGTAAATATTTGTATGCACTGGAAGTTAAAAAACCGTTATGTATTTGTATCTGCATTTAGCTTGTTTCAGCAATCGCTTTATTGTTTTGCCATCCATTACTGCTATTCTTTCGTATCCTTTCTGTCATGTTCTTCACGATGTCTTCATGCTGATTATCCTTCTATGTCAATCCGTTCAGTGTCAGAGAAAGCTGCGAAGGATCGTTTTGCTACTATATCTTCAAGTGGCCAAGAAACTTCCTCAGTTGGTGTAAATCCACAGCTTTCAGTGCCACCTTCTTCTCAAGTGTATTCATCGCCTCCCCTTCCTCCCCTTGGTTTTTACTGCTGTTTGATGATTGGATTTTATTTCTTTGATATGGAGTATTTTTCATTGTTCGCTGACATGCTATCTAACTTTTGCTTTCTCCCTTTTCCCCTATCTTTATCTCCCCTTGTCTCAAAATAGGGGTTCACCTCTCTTCTGGATTGGTGTTGGTGTAGGTCTGTCAGCACTTTTTTCATTTGTGAGTCCGGAAACTGCTTGTTATTTTTCCTAGATTATTTTTTCGTTTCCTTCCAACTTGATGTTAGATTGGCTTCTCACTTACTATCTGAATTACTGTTGCAGGTGGCTGGTAGATTAAAGGTGAGTAACTTCATACAAGACACAATTGCGTTTATGCATTTTATTGGCATTCGCAACTGTACATGTTGGTTTTGTCGTTTAAATCAGTAACAATGTTGTCAAACTATCCATTCCATGAACAAGATTGATAATGCATATCACATGATGTGTATGGTATTAGTGGTAGGCGTAAGTCAGGCATTGACAATGGCTGATTTTCATGTATCTCACATTCTCATCAAAATCTCAATATGGCAGAAATATGCTATGGAACAAGCTTTTAAGACCTTCACACAACAGATGAATACTCAGAACAGTCCATTTGGTAATGCTGCATTTTCACCTGGCTCACCCTTCCCGTTTCCACCAGCCACGAGTCCAGCATTAGATCCATTTAGAACTTCAACTCCTCTGGCATCTCAGCCTATAACTGTGGATGTACCTGCATCAAAGGTGGAGGACCCTCCATCCATATCCGTTAAAGATGAAGTAGAACAAGAGACTGGACCAAAGAAATATGGTATTTCCCAAGCCCTTAAGTGTCCTCAATATGCATATTTGTTGTCTTGATGCAGAACATTGAAAGAGGAATTATAAATATTTTCTTACTCATTTTGGTGGATCTTCTACATTATGTTCCAAAGTGCTTTCCATACCCCGTGATCTGAATCAATTTTATTGTTGTTGCAGCTTTTGTAGACGTTTCACCAGAGGAAACATTGCAAAAGAATGCCTTCGAGAACTACAAAGAATCAATTCAGACAGATTCACCAAAGGATCCCCAGTCTTCACAGTCAGTAAGTTGGACACTTATCAGGGACTGCTCTTGTAATTTATGATGGCATTATTGTTATTTTAATTATTTGAACATCTGCAAAAGGTTTCTCAAAATGGCACGGCTTGGAATCAAGGAGCAGGCGGTTCAGAAGGCCCCACTACCAGTAAGTTGGGAAATCATTTATCATTCTTATGTAGCTATTGTGTTTGCAACAATATACTGAGCTATGAAAAAAAATACTTGGAATTATCAGAGTTTGCGAATTCAAGAATAGTTCTTGTTTCTGAAGTATGTTCATATTTCACGAGTTCTGATAAGAGATCCCAAATACACATCTACTCTTTCAATGAACAGGTAAAACAGCCCCTCTCATGTCAGTGGAAGCATTAGAGAAAATGATGGAAGATCCAACAGTACAGCAAATGGTTTATCCGTATGATAGCCTCTCTCCTTATATTCGATTTTCATAGAGTCTTGTAATATCGATAAACCTTTTATTTTACATATGTCCCGGGTCCAGTGATATTTTATAAATATAACCATTTAAGTGAGAAGGACAGTGATAGCTCCACTTATTTATATTTTGACTTGATTTTCTGTGTAGGAAACTATATCCTTGAAAACTATCTAGATTTTTTAGTTGTTACCTATCTTATTCTTAGTATTCGCCATAAAACATTTACCTACTATTGGTTCATTTTTCCTTATAGTTACTTGCCAGAAGAGATGAGGAATCCTACCACCTTTAAGTGTAAGTTCATTACTCCATTGAACTTCGATTTATACCTCGATTTTAGTTATATGCAAGGCGTTATGTTTCATACTACATGTCTATTTTGTTGCAAAAGAATGGCAAACGCAAGTCTCCATCAATTTTCTTTTGCAGTAGCTGATAAAAAAGTAATGTTTTGCTGCAGAAGTTTATTAGGTGTTTATTGAGTCATTCGTTCTATATTGTAATAAATTTGGTTCTATTGGGAAGATTACAACAGAACGCTAAAGAATTCAAAAGACTTTTGTGTGTGACACAGCATGCAACATTTCCTTGACATTCTGGAGGCAGTTCGAAAAACTGCAAATTCCTTCCTCACAAAGTTTCTTTTTATAGACCATAATAATCTTAAAAAAAAACTGAAAAATCTCAATTTTCTGTCATAATCTGTTCAAATATGTGCATTCAGACTTGTCTGATTATGATTTGTACTTTAGTCCCATTTTCTATCATTGCAATTCTTTATGGCCTTCGCGTATATGCTACAGGGATGCTACAAAATCCACAGTACCGTCAACAGCTTCAAGACATGCTGTAAGTATTCTTCAATGATGATCATGCATATGTTTTAATTTCTGCATATCTCATGAGTTGCACTTCTCATGGATTCAGAAAAAAATGAATTTGCTAATTTCCATACCACATTGTTTTCACCACTTAGTTTACATTTCTACACTGTAAGTCCACGAAATTAGGAAGTGAAAAAGTTGGTTAAATTGTTGATGTCGTGAATAAATTTGTCTTTATCTAATCATTCAGAATCTTGTTCTAACTTCTTTTCTGCTTTATATTTCCAGAAACAACATGGGGGGAACTCCGGAATGGGACAACCGCATGATGGACTCGTTAAAGAATTTTGACATCAGCAGTCCCGAAGTCAAACAGCAGTTTGGTGAGTATTGTAGTAATTATTGTTAGCTCCTTGTTTATCTACCGTAAACTTCATTCGTTTTAAACCGTAAACTTCAGTCTGTGAAATGATAAAATTAATATTTAATGTTTATTCCGAACATGAAAGATAAAATCGAGGCTCTTTTACTTTCATCCACTTAGTTCCTTCTCCATTGTGTTTATTGCAGATCAGATAGGCCTTACACCTGAGGAAGTCATATCTAAAATCATGGCCAATCCTGATGTTGCTATGGCATTTCAAAACCCGAGAGTTCAAGCAGCTATAATGGATGTATGTAACTTTACTTCCTAGCAATAAAATGCCTGTTCAAATCTTGCTATGCAAATTATCTTGCCTTATCTTGATGTGCTTATGAATTTCTGGATTTTGTGTTTGATCATTTTTGCAGTGTTCACAGAATCCTATGAGTATTGCCAAGTATCAAAATGACAAAGAGGTAAGATTAAATATAGCCTGAGATCTTTGCGGATTTCGTTTATCGAACTATTTGTTGGATGTTGGTTTATGGTGAACCTTAGTTAATGTTGCTGCACTTGGATTTTGAATATAAAAATCTGTTGACAGGTCATGGATGTATTCAATAAAATATCAGAACTCTTCCCAGGGGTAGCAGGTTCTTAAGTCTGTGTAGCCACTCTTTTGTTTCCGTGCTAGAACAAGAAAACGCAGCCAGCCACAAATTACTGCTTCCTGAGTGCAAATTCACAAGAGAAGGTTGGCAGCATCATTAGCTTGGTTTATCAAATTCCAGTATCTGCATTTTGGTCATCAGTGAGTAATAGTGTAATACATAATAGTTGGCTCGGGCACACACACCGTACAAGTTTTGTTAGCTGTTCCATCCATTTGAATACTAAATCGTGTATACTCGCGTACTTGTGCCTTCTATTTATTGTAACTTCATAATGACCTGTGAATTTCCATAATGACCCACAACTTGGGTTGCCAATATAACTCTACGGAGTTGCCAATATAACTCTACGGAGATGAATAATTCATAATAGACGAAGCACAATTGCTCATATGAAGTTGGTTGGTAACCAAGACACGCAACGCAGTCCTTTTTATTAGGTAAATTTGGAACACTTGCATCAAATGGTAAAATTATGAAGCATTGAGCAACTGGCTCTTCGTCCCCATTAAAATCTTAAGAATAGCAAAAACTTACATGACGACTGAGTAAAATAAAAGGCAAAATTGGAACAGAAAAGCAAACCAGTAATTATTATTATTATTTATACCGATTATGATCAGTATCGTCCTGAAAATACACGTACAGACAGACAGGGTCCAAATAACAAGTCAATTAAGTAAGGGGTCATGCCTCCTCGTGGCAACAATTTCCCTTGGCGTCGTGACTTTGTTTATTATTTTCTTCATTTTTTCTTCCATCGTGATCGTGATCGTGATCGGAATCATCATCATCATCATCATCATCATCAAAAGGCTTTTCTTTATGAAAAATGCAGCATTTTTTGGAACTCTTCTTGTTCATAAATTCATTATCCACCGTTCCTTCTTTCCACGACACCGACTTCTTGGGGCGCCTCAATTTCAAAACTAAGGAATCCGTAATTTGTGGCTGCTGTTGACTGGACGATGACGCCGTTTCTATGATTATCGTGGTGGATAGTGCGGGGATTATTTGTTGTCTGCCGGACGATCTCGCCATTGTTATTGTTATTGTTTTATTTGTGGGTGAGTTTATTAGGTTTTTCGATTTGGGGGAATTTCTGTTTTATACGCGGAGCAGTTGGGGGTGGATTTGTTGGCAATGGGCTGGAACCACTATTACCGGACACCCCTTTTCTTTTCCCCTAAATTTATTTAAATTTAGGGTAAATTCCACTTTACTCCCTCGTACTCTGCCTGAGAGTCACTTTGCCCCCTCGTACTCTCAATTTTATCGATTTACCCCCTTGTACTTGTACAATTTCTCAATACAGCCTTTTTCTTCATTTTTTGTCAATTTTGACTGTAACGCCATTTGGTCAACTCTGTAAATTACAAAATTGCCACTGTCTATAACGCGTCGTTTCTCATCCGTCAATATTGTCATTTCTTCTTCTCCCACCAGTTCCCCTTCCAAGATATCCCCAAATTGAACTCCTAACTTAGTAAAAATCAAGACCCAAAAATTGATCGATTCCACCCAGTGCAAAGAAAAAAATATATGAATGTGTGAAACTTTCTCTTTTCTAATCTCGAGAGTCAAAATCGAAAAAATTCAAGATTTACGTCAATATTTTGACTCTTGACCAAATGGCGTCAGAGTCAAAATCGAAAAAAAGTTGATGAAGAGGGTTGTATTGGGAAATTGTACAAGTACAAGGGGGTAAATCGACAAAATTAAAAGTACGAGGGGGTAAAGTGGTTCTTAGTCAGAGTACAAGGGGGTAAAGTGGAATTTACCCTTAAATTTATTTCAATACAGGGGTAATGACAAATATGCCCATGACAAGGGCATTTAATTAAAAGAGAACATCTAACTTTTTTGTCTTTTAAATAAATCCACCCCATTCAAACTTATTTGCAAATAAGGAAAATCCTTTTATATATACCAAAATTAACCCCAATTCATTGAAACCCAATTCAACTCCAATTTCATGATTTACACCCCAATTTAGCCCAATTTCATCAATTAAGCAATTTTAACCTTAATTTCAATTTTGACCCCAATTTTAATCCTAATTCTTATCAATTCCACCCATTATGCTCTAACTTCTTTAATATTACACATTGACCCCGAATTTAAACAAATATATCACATTAACCCCCCAAATTTTTTATTCAGAATTTTTTTTTTCTGAATTGTTTTTTTTCCGGCTAGATTCCGGCGTTGATTTTTTTTTTTTTAATTAATATTACTGTCTTGGCTGCTAAATTACTGTCTCCGGCAGTAATTTAGCTGTTAATTGATTTTTTTTTTCCTTCAAAAATATTTTAATTAATATAACTGTATTCGTTGCTAAATTACTGTCTCCAGCAGTTATTTAACTGTTGGAGACAGTGATTTAACTGTTAATTGACTTTTTTATTCTTAAAAAAATATTTTTAATTAATATTACTGTATTCGTTTGCTAAATTACTGTCTCCAGCAGTTATTTAACTGTCGGAGACAATAATTTAACTGTTAATTGATTTTTTTTTCATTTTTTTTCTTAAAAAAAATATTTTAATTAATAGTACTGCCTTAGATGCTAAATTATTGTCTTCAACAGTAATTTTACTGTCTTAGACAATAATATTAATAATATTACTGTTCGGAAAAATAATATTAATAATATTACTGTTCGGAAAAATAATGTTCATAATATTGCTGTTTGGAAAAATAATATTCATAATATTAATGTCTCAAACAGTAATATTACTGTCTGATACAGTAATTTAGTAGCTAAAACAGTAATATTAATTTAAATATTTTTTTCTTCTGAGAAAAAAAATTCAAAAAAAAAAAAAAAGTCAACGCCGGAGACCGGCGGTGAACAGTGGTTGACCGACCGGAAAAAATTTCAGGGAAAAAAAAAGTTTTCAAAAAAAAAAAAAAACAAAAAAAGTCAACGCTGGAGACCGGCGGTCAGCGCCGGAAACTGGGCGGAAAAAAAATATTTCAGAAAAAAAGTTATTTTCTGAAAAAAAAAGTTTTGGGGGTTAATGTGATATATTTGTCAAAATCCGGGGTCAATGTGTAATATTAAGGAAGTTAGAGCATAATAGGTGGAATTGATAAGAATTATATTATTGAGGGTATTTTAGACTACAGACATAGGGATGGGCTTAATTGAGAGACTGTTTTTTTTGTGGACCAAAATGTATTTAAGTCCCATGTGATGGGCCTTTTTGCCATTCGCCCTTCAATATATACTACTACTACTAGGTATTTGCTTTTTTTTTTTTTTTTTTTTTTTTTTTTACCAACCTTCATTAGGAGAGTTGGTACCTAGCCTTACCAATAGGGTAAAAGGTGGGTTCAAATCCCCCCTCCCCTACTTCCCCTTGTAATGACTTGAATTACTCAAAAAAAAAAAGATATTTGCTTTTTTTTTTAAAATAAAAATAAATAAATTGTAAATAAATAAGGTAGTTGCGTGGTGCAATATTGAGATAAAAGTTTATTGAAGGACTACTAGGCAATTTTTGTAAGTATTGGCAGTAGATCGAAACTTAAGATGAAGTGAGGGACTGTAAATGAAATAATGTACAAGTATTAATCAAACAGTGATTGGTCAGATTCAACGGTGATGAGTGGTGAGAGTGCATAATTTGATTGTCCGCCCTCATGTACACTAAAACTTGTTCCCGTTCATTATCAGTGGTGGTTCTGAAAGGCCTGTTTGGTGGGAACGGACTTACCAATGTTGTAAGAAAGACAACATCATCATCATCATCATCGTCGTTGTCGTCGTACGAAATAGTTGCCCCACCCTCTAAAAATACTGCTGCTCAGCAACAGCGCAACTGCTCATCTTCCCCAGGTAAAAAAAAAAACCCATTTCCCAGCAATCTTTAATTTCCGTTAGGGTTTTACATCTGAAGTTTTATTTCATTTCATTTCAGGTCTATTAAAAAAAGTAAAAGAAATGACAGGTGACAGTAGCAAGCCCATTATTACTCGTGTTCTTTTTTGTGGTCCACATTTCCCTGCTTCTCATAACTATACAATAGAGTATTTGCAAAGCCATCCATTCATTCAGGTGCTTTTTTTTTTTCTTCTTCGATTTTGTTATAATCTACATGTACAGATGTACTTATCCGTGTATCTATTTATTAATAATATATGGCCCTCTGCTGAATCCTTTTGTTCAATTTGGTAGGTTGATGTTGTCCCCTTAGATGATGTCCGAGAAGTTATCGGGAACTATGATATTTGTGTTGTCAAAAGTCTGAGGTTAAATGCAGATATCATCTCTAGAGCTAATAAAATGAAGCTTATTATGCAATTTGGAGTTGGCCTCGAAGGCACGTCTCTGACTTTTGTGTTCATTTTTACTTTGCAATTACCAATCATTCATATTAATGATGATTTCTTCTTGAATGAAATGAAGGTGTTGACATAAATGCTGCTACAAAACATGGAATTAAGGTTGCCAAGATCCCAAGTGATGGCACTGGAAATGCAACTTCATGTGCTGAAATGTCCATTTATCTTATGTTGGGACTCCTCCGTAAGCAAGTTCGTCTATTTCACTCTTGGATGTCGCTGAGACATCAATCTCTCTATAAATTAACTTTGATAACATTAAAGAATGATTATTATATGTCTTGTCAAAATCCATATTGGTTTCCTTTTCAGTTTTTTCATTCTGTCAAAATTTGTCCTTGTCATACATTAAGTGAATTCTTTCTCATAGTTTCTTTTCTTCCAGCTTCCTTTCACTTTATTTATTAAGTAAATTGGTGCTTGTGTTGTGTACTTCATCTTAAGAAGTTTATCTTTATCTATATGAATCTGTCCACGAACATTTTTGTGGTATGAAATCTCTGTATAAACTATATTAAAGTTCCTTCATTTTTTCTTTTTTCCATTGCCACAGTATGAAATGCAAGTTGCTGTGAGGCAGAAACTACTTGGGGATCCAATTGGTGACACGTTGCTGGGAAAAACGGTGAATTACTTTTTTACAATTTCGTCCGGAAATTGTTACCTATGTTCTTTACAGTAATGCACAAAATTGAACTAGGCATTATCATCTTTAACTTGCTACATGCTTGTAGATTTGCATATTTGGTTAAATAAATTTAATGCACAAAAATCCACTTACCTGTGTGTAGGTATTCATCATGGGATTTGGGAATATCGGAATCCACTTAGCAAAGCGCTTGCGGCCCTTTGGTGTGAAAATTCTTGCTACTAAAAGGAATTGGCCTTCAGATTCTCAGAGCTCATACAAGTCTGACGGTATGGTGGTTTACTATGTTAACCAATCAAAATATGCTATAAAATATCAAAATATAATAATTAATCAACTTGTAATTGGATCTTTTCAGTGTCAAACAGTCCCCATGATGATGATCTTGTGGATGAGAAGGGTGGTCATCAAGATATTCTAAAATTTGCAAGCCGTGCTGACATTGTTGTTTGTTGTTTGTCAATGAACAGTGAAACGGTAACCAATTTCCCGATGACATATTATTTGAAGTACATTATCTTTTCAGGGCCTATATTTATTTTGCATGTGATTTTATTGCTTTCAGGCTGGCATTATAAACAAGGATTTTATATCGTCCATGAGAAAGGTTGGTTGACTTGTTTATAGAAATTAATTATATTAGAGAAGAGATAAATAAATTCTCAGATTTCTGATTGTATTTTAGGGTGGCTTACTTATAAATATAGCACGAGGCGGGCTGTTGGATTACAATGCGGTACTCGATAATCTGAAATCAAGTCACTTGGGAGGGCTAGGAATTGATGTTGCATGGACTGAACCATTTGATCCCGATGACCCAATTTTGAAGTTCCCAAATGTTATAATCACACCTCATGTTGCTGGAGTTACTGAAAATTCCTATAGATTCATGGCCAAGGTATTTATTTATATTCATCGTCTAGTAAACATTATCAAACTTTAAAATCAGTTTATAATTTACTCCAAACATCCCAAAGTTTAATCTCGTCTTTTTTGACTTTGGTTGGCAGGTTGTAGGAGATGTTGCCATTCAACTCCATACAGGCGCATGTTTAACTGGAGTAGAAATTGTCAATTGATCAGCTATATACTACGGAGGACCCGCATTTTTCAAATAGCATATCATCAAATATGACAAGTATTAACTGGAACTCTGGCCGGCCACTGTGAAAAAGGTAGATGCATTTATTTATGTCACAAGTCAATTGTGAGGTTATTGAAAAAACAGAAACTAGTACTAGAACTTGTATTACAGAACTTGTTCACATCATAATAATAATAATACGGCACCATGAATTGGGAACAATAAATATCATTCCCCTCAAATAGTTTCATTAAGTGCAGAATTTCCTCACTCTACCATCTGGTTATGTATAGCTACAAGATTGTTGAGTGAGAGAGGGATTTCTACCGTATGGCTCGAAATCTAGGGTCCAGAACCCTCCTGTAAACACATAAACAGACAGTTAAAAATTAGACTAGAAAAAATCGAGAACTTGTTGTCCAAGGAGAAGCTAATAATTAATACCTTGTGAGGAAAAGTGAAGGCCAATGCATCTTTAAGTTCATACATAGGGATATCTTCTTTGCAATTGACAATCTTCAGAATCTCAAATCCGGGCATTTTCTCATCTCGTAATTCAGGAAACGCATCTATTACCTTCATTGTTTGGGGTGATATTTTGAGGACATTAACATGGTGCATCTGATGAAGCATGCTGAATAAAGTTTCAGAAGTTGTCATCATTTTTTCACCTACTGGAACACTTAACTCTATACATGCTCTATACAAACACGGCATATCTGTCCTGAAATCTATTCTTGTAATAGAACCCTGCAACTTAAAAAACTCTAGGTTAGGAGCATTCACACCGATCATGTCTTCCCATGGACTCCTCCAATACCTAATCTCCAACTTCTTTAGATTCAAGCAATTGACATCCAAAACCTTGAGTTCGTCCCCACACCTAATCAAACACTTAACCAATACCAACTCCTCAAGATTCGGGCACCCTGTAAAAACCTCCCCATTATAGTTTTTGGCTGAGAATTCAAAATTCTTGAGGTGCAAAATCTTCAAGTTGGGCAAAACAACAGATGTGGGCAACTCTATGCTGTCTCTACGAGCATCATTCAGGTGCAAAGTTATCAAGGACGATGAAGTAAGCAACAACTTGGGCAATGTAGCAGGCCTATGGTCTTTGGTGTTTGCTCGGATTCTGAGATGATGGATATTGCGTTGGACGGCGTAATGGATGCATTCCTCGATGAATATTGAGGTCACCCCTATATGCAATGAAAGGCGAAAACTCTCGAGGTTCTTATAGTCTTTTCTGCGCTGCAAGACATGGCTAACGTTTGTCTCGAAAGAACGACTAATGGCATGTGAATATTTTGAACTAGCCAAATTGAAGTGAAGAGTTGTTGATGAAGCCCAAGCATGTCGATATTGTGTGGACAGAAGAGAGGTCCTAATGGCGGATTTGGTATCAAGAAAAGAGAGTATTCGACCCAGAATATCATAGGGTAAACAGCTCAGTCTATCCACACCGCAATTCACCTTTACTTGTTCTTCTCCTCTTTTTCTTTTCATGTTTTCCCTGCTGCTTTCTTTTGTGATCATGGATTTCCGGTCAGGGTTTTTGAATATGAATATCAGAGAAGATGGCGGAACAATCTTTCTTGAAATTGATTCAATTTACGGTGAACTTATAGCAACGATAGACGATCAAATATATAGGCGTGAGGAGTTCATCAAAACAAAATAACCCCGGCCCACTTAAATTCATTTGGAGTATCAGGCCCAAAATATAATAATTCAGTCCACAAGACTAAATAATAAAATAATTAATTAAGAGAGAGAGAGAGAGAGAGAGAGAGAGAGAAGAACACGTTAGAGAATATTAGACGTACTTTTTAACCTTATTATTCAGTTCTTGTTGAGAATTCACTGCTTCTATTCGATTGCTTCAATTCTTGGCGACTCATTAGTCAGTACCCCAAATTCTAACCAACTAAAATCGATTGCAGGCACAAAGTAGATCTTGGGAGGAAGAGGGGCGATAATATCTAACCGAATTCCAATTGAAGTAAGTTTTTTTGTTATCTATTAATCACATGACAATGATGATTATATTATTTTCTAAGACGTAAATGATTTAACTGTTTGTTGCTTTGGCTGATTGTTCTTGTTCCGGGATAATCATGTTGAAGTCCACCAGGTGTTTGTGGATATGCGTCTTAGAGTCAATGCCTCTCTGAATTGTGTTTAAATTTTAATTTTTTATTGTTGTTCCAACTGAATTGTAAGTCTCTGCTTCTGAAGACCTTCGTTCTTGATGTTTGTGCTTGATTCTGTAGCAGCCTCTTTAAATTGCCAACCTGGTGGACAATTTGGATTAGAATCCTTATGAAAACAACTTTCATATATCCGAAAAGTAGATCCAGATCATATTATAATTCATTAACTTAATTACAAATTATTCTTTGGTGACTTTCCAATTTTTACTTCAGTTAATTCAGTCCATTGGCTCTTCCTAAAGCTATTATATTTGCTCTTCTAGTATATAGATTGTTGCTAAAATTGTATATACAGCATAGGCTCTAAACAATTATGGCCTTTCGTAACAGTCTATTCGTAATTAACAAGGGGTAATTGGTGAAAAAATTAAGATTAGGTTAAATACTAATTTCATTTTGACTTATTGAAGATTAAGTTCGATACTGACCACTTATTCCTCGTCACACTGACCAATTATATTCAAGTATTGCTGAATTATATGCCTCTTCCTTGACTTGCGGACATGCAGTTCATTTGTTCTGTGCAATGTTGACGTATGTTTTATTCAATGCCTTGTAGTTTTAACTTTTCATACGCTTGAGGAGCAGCTATGATGGGGGTGGTAAGCAAATTCTTCATTGCATCCATGCTTATGTGGGTAGCTCCTGTTGCAATTTTATATGGATTCAACCACAATTTATTCCCTGGTAATTTTCCATTTACAACTTAATATCATCGTCAGTTTTTCTTCAAATTGTAAAAATTATAGCTTTTTGTGAGTTATACAAAACTTGCATTTACATGATCACTGGTACTAATATTTGGCCATGGATCACCCTGATTCTCACACAAATACATGGTGCATTTTGCCTCAATGAAATCAAAAGCAAAATTGTTATATTGCGGGGGGATGTTTGAATTTGTAATTGGATGTTTTCAATAATCGATTGTAACAGCCATTAATTTGTGATGCATGTATAACAGGTTGCAGTGGATTGTCCCCTGAGGCGATGACAGTGTGGAGTGGAATCCTGGCGGTGATATCTGTGAATGTAGTTATAGTATTCTACATTTACTCAGCCATGAAGGAGCCCTCAGACAAACATGTACCGGATCCTAAATTCTTAGCAGATGCAAAGGCTAGCATAAAGCAGCCTGTTCCAACTGAACTCGACTCCTCATCGGATCGTTCAAAACAAGAATAGTTGTGATGTTAACTAAACACTATTCCGTGGGCTGTAAAGAACGAAATTGATAATGAGCATAAGCCCCTCCTCACATGAGCATATGGATCTCCTATATTTTCGCCTTTCTTAAAAGTCATACTTCACTTCGAGGAAGTTTTGATTGGAGAGTTTGTGATAGAGCACAACGTAGGTACATTGTGTAGAATTTGGTGTCAGTTTTCCTTTTCAAGAATTTTGATTGATTATTATTGGTGTTAAAAAACCCATCTTTTTATTTTATTGTTTACTAATCTCATTAATTTAGCTTGTTGGATTTTCCTTGGTTTTCAATTTAACTGCTTTTTAACGCAAAAGTAATAAAACCAGAGTTGGCAATTACCTACTGCAAGAACCTTTACAGACCAACGAAACTCAGTTCATGCCAACTCCAATTCAACCTAAACAGGTATAATCAATTTTCTAATTGGTATAACATATTCCACACTCTCTTTCTCTCTCAAATTTAAAAGGTAAGGATTTATTTATTCAAAAAAGAGTTAGTTATGAACTAAATATTGCTTAGATTATCTATGAATTTTTTTTCTTTCATAAAAATAATTTTTTACGTACTCACAATTTCCGAAAAAAGAATTATTAATAAAAATATTTAAAATTCAAATCCTTGAAAGTTTAGACTTTGTATTAATCACGGTAACCAAATCTTGGTGGTTAAATATTAGTAACCAAATCGTAGTAATCATATTTTCGATATGCCTCTTCCTCCCCTAACGACCCGCTCCTCTTTCTCGCCTTCCCCGCTCCGGCTACTGATCTTATTCTCGTTACTTTTTTTGCTTTCTCCGGCGATCACCTCATCCGAATATCATCAGTTCAATTTAGATGGCAAAGTATTGGAGCTCGACGACTCTAATTTCGACGCCGCTATTTCCAAATTCGACTTTATTTTCGTCGATTTTTATGCTCCCTGGTGCGGCCACTGCAAACATCTCGCGCCTGAGGTTCGATTTATTTTCTTGACCGACCTTGTCTTTAAATATTTGAATCTGTTAATTAATTTTTTTAATGGTTTGTCTGCGAAAACTTTGTTGGGGATTTTTTTAATGGTTTGTCTGCGAAAACTTTCCTGGTAACTAATATGAACGCCCCCCATTGCAGTTGGAGAAAGCAGCTCCTATTCTAGCTGGATTGAATCAGCCAATAGCTGTTGCAAAAGTAGATGCTGACAAGCACAGAAAGCTTGCTTCTAAGCATGACATCGAGTATGTATTTTTGGAATTTAGTGTTATCCACGTAGTAAATTAACATTGTTGTTGTGTTTAATGCAGTGGATATCCAACTCTAAAGATATTTATGCATGGCGTTCCTACAGAATATTATGGACCAAGGAAAGCTGATTTACTTGTTAGATTTCTGGCAAAATATGTTGCTCCTGATGTCACTGTTCTCAGTTCCGACGCTGCTATAAACGACTTTACTGAATCATCAGCGGGTTCTAATTTCCCTATATTCATAGGCTTTGGCTTGAATGAGTCCACTGTATTGGATTTGGCTGTCAAGTACAAGAAGAAAGCATGGTTTTCTGTTGCCAAGGATTTCTCTGATCAAATCATGACATCATTTGATTTTGAAAAGATCCCTGCTTTGGCTGCAATTCATCCAGTCTACAACGAACGCAGCACTTTTTATGGTCCATTTGAAGGTTAGTTTGTTACTCGGTGTAAATTCTGCCCTTTAATTTCAGTAGCTATCCAATCAATATAAGTAAGGTCTCAATTTTAGGTTTTGCTAGTTTTGAGTTGAAAATCTTCTAGGTCTTGTTGCCTTTATACTATTAGTATTAACTGTAGCAACAATCTGCAATAAAAGGGAAACAAAAAAAAACACCCAACTTTTCTTAATTCTACGAGCATGGCAAAAAATTGCGACTTGTGTTGTTTCATTAAACATAAGATGGATGTAAATAAGTATTCTTTCTTGCTGTGATTTGCAGAAAAGTTCATTGAGGATTACATAAAACAGAGTCTGCTCCCTCTGGTTTTGCCCATAAGTCGAGACTCACTGAAGTCGCTCAAGGATGACCAAAGGAAAGTTGTTGTAACTATCTTGGAGGATGAAACAGAGGAGACATCCAAGGAAATATTACAAGTCTTAAAGGCTGCTGCCTCTGCAAATCGTGACTTAATATTTGGTTACGTAGGGTTCAAACAGTGGGGGGATTTCGCCCAATCATTCGAAGTTGACAAGAAAACTCTGCTTCCAAAGATTGTTGTATGGGATGGTAAAGAGGAGTATGCTTCGGTAGGTGATACATTCTCTTTTTAATGTACATTTTATTATTTGGCCCCTTGAGCTTCAAAAGTTGAATGATTTGATTGTGTATTGCATTTGGTTGGAGAACAGGTAGTTGATTCAGAAAGCACAATAGATGGAAGAAGAGACGACACGAACACACAAGTGTGGAGATTTATGAAAGATTACAGAGAAGGAAGGGTAATACAAAAACGTATAGCGGGCCCTACATTGATGGGGTTCATGAAATCACCGATAGGAGTAATAATTGTATTACTTGCTATTTGTTTGGTGCTGGTAGTAGTTGTGATCCTGTCAATGTTTAAAGAGGAACCTCTCACTGTCGGGACTCGTGACCAGGTCGATCAAGGAGTAAGCCCCAATCTTCACCCTGAACTGCGTGGAACTGTCAAACAGGACTGATTTATTAATTTATGGACAAATATTTGCTACTCTTCTTGTTTCAGATTTCGCACCTCTTGTATACTTCTTTTTCTTTCTCTTCTGTATTTGCAATTTTGGACAATTTATTTATTTTAATTAATGAAAAGTTGTTGTTATTTCTTTACATGAT